AGCTACCCACTCTTGTGATGTCTATAACATATCTATATGTTCCCATAATAATGCAAACCCCTATGCATAGTCTGCTGAGATTTTACTAGAGCCTCAATAGTTTTCTTCTTTCTGTGTGTTGGGCAATGAAAGCTCATTATGTTTTGTGTTCGTCATAGTGTTCACATCATTATTTCTGCCCTTGTCTAAGGAAGAAAGGAGTCAGATATGCCAAAGGATTACTTCTGTCTTTGTCAGTGCCAGCCACCACACTTCCTCAGCTCCTGGATCAAGTACAATCAAATTACTACATCACTGTCAGCTGTGAAATGCAGTAAAGTTATAGAGGTTTTCAGCTCTGCAAAGTGTGTTGAGGAATCACACCCTCATACTGTTCTGATAATTTGCAGTTGCACCAGGGGTGGGGGTGGGTATACAAGGAGTTTTGTAAGTTTATTGCATTGCTTAATAATTGCCCTTTAGCATTGTGATGGATTTCTTTATGCTAACTTCTGAGTAGTTGGTATAATAAGGATTGCAAAATCTTGTCCTTAACATTGCATTTGTTTTCATCTGTCTTACTCCTTTTAAGACTGGCCTTATATGAGCTTTAGCGTGGATTTTCTGTCCTTTTTTCTGGGCTGCTATCTCAAGAGCAAAGTTATTTACAACTAGGCAAGTTTAGAGAGAAAATGAAGGTAATTGCAGTTCATTGCAATGTCGGTGTCCTTTGTTGAGGATTGGAAATCAAGAAATTTTTTGTTTTCAAAGGTGATAGGCATGGATTTAGCAAATAACTTGACTGCCTAACTTTTGTTCTAGATAAATTGGTTGACAGTTTTATCAAAGCTGGTATAGTAAAACACCTAGAACATCCAGACTATTGAGGAAAAATCAACATGGATTTGTTAAATGACATTTCTTTGCTTTCCACACTCTTGGAAGGTGTCAAGATATAGCTAAGGTGGTTGGTGGATATCTTCTGCTAAGCTTTCTGAAACACTTTTGGTAGAAGAGGAATTAATGGAAAAACAAGATCATAGAATCATGGAAGAACAGAGTTGGAAGGCACCATGAAGGCCATCAGGTCCAACCCCCTGCTGTTGCAGGACACCAGTTTATACCATTTCACTCAGATGACTGTCCAGTTCCTTTTTGAATGTCTTTGATGTCGGAGAGCCCGCCAGCTCTCTAGGTAGCTGGTTCCACTGTAGTATTGCTCTGACAGTGAGGAAGGTTTTCCTGATGTCCAGCCTGAATATGGGTTCTCACCACTTGAATTGATTGGATGGATTGGGATTTATACTGGGGATGGTACCACTCAACACACACATATGATTTGGAGCCAGGTGGAAAGTGAAACATTGACATACACTAAATTATTGCTAAATTATTCAGAAAGTAATGTCTCAAGCAGATGGAGAAGAAATCTGAAAGGAGGTTTCTAGACTAGTCCATTAGTCTTCATGTCAGCAAATAAGAGTTAATTTAAATAAATATAGTGAATTGTGTGAGAGACTCTTTTGAAGAGAAATCCTATGATGAAGAACCTGCTATGTTAGAAGGTGAAGTGAAGGTGCTCTAAAAGCATCTGGAAGGTGTAAAACATCCTGAGTAGATAGGGTACCAATATTTCAAGCTGCAGATACAGAATTAACCCTTGCTTCTCCATTAATTCTTATCTTCTATCAAAGGTTTTTCGGAAAATGTAGCAGAAGTTGTCTATTAAGCACTTCATCTATATCCAGATACCTTCTAAGAATTTAGAAAGTAAAGAAACTTCACGTTGCAAAAGAAAGAAGTTGAAATCATGAAAGATTTTGCATGCTTTGGCTCCTTCATCAATTCACAGGGAGACTGCAGCCAAAAATTAGACGACCAAGACTTGGAAGGGCAGCAAAGAAAGAACTAGGAAAGATCATCCAATGTGAGGACATTTCACAGGCGACCAATGCCAAGATCATGCACAGCATTGCATTCTCAATCATTATGTTTGGATATGAAAGACTAAGAGTGAAGAAAGCCGATAGTAAGAAAATGGGTGCATTCAAAACATGGTGCTGGTGGAGAGCTTTGTGAAACCTTGCACTGACAGAAAGTCAAAGCAGTGGGTCCTGCATCAAATCAAGCTAGAACTTGCCCTGGAAACAAGAATGGCCAAACTGAAGCTGTTGTACTTCAGGCACATTGTGAGAAGGCAAGATTCACTGGAGAAGACAATTGTACGAGAGAAAGTTGAAGACAGATGAAGAGGAGGCAGCCCAAATATGAGATGGGTTAATTTCATAAAGGAAGCTGCAGCCTTGAGTCTACAAGAGCTGAGCAGGGCTGCCAAGGGCAAGCCCTTTTAGAAGGCTTTCGCTCATAGGGTCACTGTGAGATGGAGATGACTTGATACAACAACAGCTTTCTATACTGCCTGATATCCCTATTGCTCTGGTATATGAACTGGGTATGACGATTAAATAAATAGATCTTAGGATCCTGCTGGGTTTGTGGGAAATAACAATCATGCATATTGTGGTAGCAATGAAGCCAGTGTAGGAACAGACTTAGATTATCAGGTGTATATAGGAAGCAGTACATTTGGAATACTATGTGCTGTTATACTTGTCCATCTTGGAGAGAATATTACACAAATGGATACAGTAAATAGTGACATAAATGTGAAATAAAGGAATTGGCATCTAAAATGATGTCAGTTGAAGGCTTTTTTCTTTCTGCTTTAAGGAGAGGCCGTAGTGCTTGGTTACTCAGTTTAGAGGCAAAAGAAATGAACAGAATTTCCTTCCCAGGTCAAGTTCACAAAATAGAGTGTGGACATAGGTTTATTCCTCCCTTGGTGTCATCCAGTGAAATGGGTTTGGCAATAGCTTCAGGAAGGAGGAGTACTGTATGCACTGCATAATAAATGTTAATTAAGATTTGCAGAATACATAATTAAAGCTTGGAAATCATCACTGTCTTGTGGCTTTAAAAAGCATTAGACAAATTTGGGGACAATAAGTCTGTTACCACTGTTAAATTTTCTGAAGCAGCATTGTTTTTGAGAGAACCTGATGCTAGGGACAAGTAGATGGCCATTACTTTTGGGCCCTACTTCTGGGCTTGCTCGAGGGAAGATCTTTGGCTAAGTAGGCTGTTCTCTAATCCAACTTTCTTGATTACAATTGATGAGTAATTTGATTACTAGGTTAATAATATGTGAATTGATTTCCCATTCTGTGTGGAAGTAATACCATTTTTGCCTAGAAATGCTCCTGTCCTATTTCACTGTGATATAATATTTGGAGAAAATGCAACAGTATCTGGGACTACAGAAAAAGAAAAACACCTGAGTACAAAAGAACATTGAAATAGCTGGGCGATGCTGTCATCTTAGATAATCCTTATTATGCTAGCTGTTTATATTATCTTTTCAAGAGGGGAGGAAACTGGGAGTACATCAAATAGATAGAATGTCATAGGGAAAATAAGCTAAAAACTATTTCAGTACCATAAGCTTTGACTGATTCTCTTACTAAAGTCTCTCAAGAAAATTTAGTAGCTATTAGATAAGAGGATCATAGTATTCCTGAAGAAGTGGGGGTGGAGGGAAAAAACAAATGCCCAATTCTAACAGGGTCACTGGTTGGCTGTAAATGACTGTTATGTGTGCATCTGGTGTGTGTGTGTGTGTGTGTTTACATATTTAGTTCGTGAATGATCTGGAGACGAGGAATAACTAAAGTGGTAACGCTTGCTGTGGACTGCAAATGATTTGGGACAGTTAAATTCCCAATTCTCTTGGGACAGAAGAGGGTTGCACAGTATTTTCAACCTTGAGAGTGATGCTGGATCAGGACTGAGTGCATGCGCACAGAAGTGAATGAGGATCTCTGTGGAAGGGAGTAAGGAGCACAGATGATGGGGGGCTCAGCAGCACTGTGTCGTCTGCGCATTTTTGGGGTGGGGGCTGTGATTGTGCATGGGGAGACTTTTCCCAAACTGCATGAGTGGGCAAGAACATCGGAAGCTGCCCTATCCTAAGGGAGAGGTTCAGTCCATCCAGTCCAGTACTGTCAATACTGATTTGCAGCAGTGGCTCTCTGGGATTTTGGGAGGAGTCTCTTTAAGCCTAACTGGAGGTGCTGCATATTTAACCTGGGGCCTTCTGTGTGCAGCATCTGCTCAGCCACCAAGGCATGGTCCTTCATCATCTGGCAGATGTTCTGTTGAATGTAAGGTGATACATACTCGTGTGGGAGAACCACCACAGTGGTAGGAGAGAGAGAGGATTCAAACTTGATTGTAAATAATCAGGTGAAGGAACTTGATAGTAAAAATGTTGGAGGGCATGTGGAGAGAGACTGCCATAATGTTAGGAATTCTTTGGGAAAGGTTGGAGCCTCTGTGAATCTAGTATGTTCATATTAACCAAGTTCTGTGTGGTTCGGCAGTGTGAAAAAAGGACATAAAACAGATGAAAGTATCTAAGTTCAATTAGACTGATAACATTCCATAAAAGAGCTATTTAAGGGGGGGGGTGTCAAGGAGAGCACAAAAATTCTCCAGTTTGACTAGAAAAAGACAATCAGTTTAGTATTGTCTGGAAGCAAAAATTGGAAACCACCAGTAAAACATGAGGCAGCAGGCAAGTAAATAGCTTTGTCATGCAAAGGATATTTCAGATACAAGATGATTGCTATAGGAAGCCACAAACATAAATGGATTTTAGGAACTATTGCAGCAAGAAATGCAGGTGAGGTAATAAGGGACAGTTTATAAAAGTCTGTTGACCAGGATGGCTAGTATTCCAACCTTGTTAAGAGAAGGCATACTGCTTGATTACCAAATGCCCAGGATTCCCCAAGTGGGTGTCTTCCCCGGGGCACATTTCTGTTCACTTTCAGAAGACAGATGAGCTGGATGGAAGAGGGTGTGTGCATATGTACCTGCCCAACATGAATTCATATTCCTATATCCTTTTCAGTTTTTGAAGCGTATTATATAACCTGTGCTTGCTTGCTTTCTGCTGTTAGGTATGGAAGAACGAACAGGTGCTGTATCTTGGGGAACAAGTGGTCAGTCGAGTCCATCATATGAACCTACAAGGGTAAGAATATAATTTGGCTACAGTTGAGTGAAGGCAGATAAAGAAATATCCATTGAAAACTTTTTGAGCATTGTTGTGATCAGTTTGATGGTAATTAATAGGACTCACTTTAATCTTTCACCCAACAAGAAAACTTAATTGTACAATGCACCTGCTTCTTATAGCTCAGAGTGCCTTGAGAGGTGCTTCCAGGCAGCTTTGAACCTGTAAAAGCAGAACAAAACTTCCGTTGCATTTCCACTTAGATTCCACTCCCTGGTTAGTTCTGGAATCTTCATGTTTGGACTCTCTGCCCAAACATATTGTGCTGTACGAAATAGATGATAATAGAATCATAGAATGGTTGAATTTGAAGAGGCGAAGAAGGCCATTGGGTCCAACTTCCTGCCCTTAATTTTGAAATATATTCAAAATTATATAGCAGAGATAGTGAAATATTAGAGCAGGACATGGATCCCTTTTTCCCCTTGGGTTAATCTTCTTTATCGTCATATGCTACAAAAACAGTTCTTAATGGAACTTCAGATTGAGGAAATTACAAATGGAATATTTAATAAGAAAATTGGGAAATCACCATGTCTGGATGGTTGCTACAAAACATTTTCCATCTTTCTGGTTTCAATGCTTTATCATTTTTATTATTCTATTTTTGAATTGGGATTTTTAATTAGCTCACAAGAATGCCTATATTACCGTAATTTCTAACCCAGATAGTGACCATTACTTTCTGTGCTTAATTATCTCTCTATTTCATTGATCAATGTTGACATCAAAATACTAACTGCAGTCTTGGCTTGCAGACTTCAGTGTGTTATTACTATGTTAGTCCCACCAGATCAGGTAAGATTAATTAAAAATAGGCAGAGGCTGAGTGCACAGCACTTGTAACACCTTCTGTACCCACAAAGGACAGCAAGTGCACTGATGCTCTCTCTTCTTCCCTGGGAAGAGCATTCTGGGAGCCTTTTTGGCTGAGAAGCGAGATAGAAATACTTAAAATACATAAATAAGAAGTGTTGCTGTTATTTAAATACTATAGAATTCTATTCAGTGAGGAGTTCATTTTTCGTTTCAGAAAGATTGGCATTTAGAAGTTAGCTATCATAGAACCGTAGAGTTGGAAGGGGCTTTTAAGGCCACTTAGTCGAACCCTGCCCAGATCAGGACTCCAAAGTTCAGGCATCCCTGACTGAGGGCTGTGTAGCTGCCTGGAATGCCTCTAGTGTGGGAGAGCCCGTGACCTCCCTAGGTTTCATCGCCATGCTGCTCTAACAGTCAGGAAGATTTTCCTAATGTCCAGCAAGAATCTGGCTTCCTGTAACTTAAGCCTGCTATTCCATGTCCTGCACTTTAGGATGATTGAGAAGAGACCTCCTCTGTGTGATAGCCTTCCACGTCTTTGAAAAGTGCTTATCATATCTCCACTCAGTGAAGGTGATGACCCACTTTCAGTTCCATGCATTGGCATTGCTATTTATTTATTTAGAAAATTTCTAGGCCGCCCCATTCGCTGAAGCCTCGGGGCGGCTTACAAATAATTAAATTAAAATACATAAATAACAATATAAAATACACGTAACTGTATAAAATAAGTCACCCTGGCCAAAAAACTTTAAAATAAAAATAACATTAACAATTAAAATGACGCTTGAATAAAAAGGTCTTCGCCTGGCACCGAAAAACAAATAACAACGGTGCCAGGCAGACCTCTCTGGGGAGCACATTCCATAGATTGGGTGCCACTGCAGAGAAAGCCCTCCTCCGAGTACCTGTCCTCCTAATTTCCTTCACAGAAGGTTCCCGGAGAAGGGCCTCTCCCGCTGATCTCGGGGTGGGCGGGCATATATGGATGTAAGCGCTCCTTCAGGTAGCCAGGACCCAAGCCGTTTAGGGCTTTATAGGTCATCACCAACACCTTGAATTGGGCCCGGACTTCAATGGGAAGCCAGTGAAGCTGACGGAGGACTGGAGTCATGTGAGCATAATGCCCAGTCCCCATCAACAGCCTGGCAGCTCTATTCTGAACCAATTGAAGTATCCGGACCGTCTTCAAGGGTAGCCCCACGTAGAGCGCGTTGCAGAAGTCAAGTTGGGAAGTCACCAACGCATGTGTCACTGTCGCCAGGCAGTTGTACTTCAGGTAGGGGCGCAGCTGATGGATCAGCCGAAGCTGAAAGAAAGCACTCCTCGCCACCGCTGTCACCTGAGCTTCCAGTGAAAGCTCTGGGTCGAGGAGCACTCCCAAGCTGTGGACCTTGTCCCTAAGAGGGAGTGCAACCCCATTCAGGACTAGGTTCAGTTCACCCTCACCGAAGCTTGATCCGCCGACCAACAGGACCTCCATCTTGTCTGGATTGAGCTTCAGTTTGTTGGCCCTCATCCAGCCCATTACCTCGGCCAGGCACCGGTTCAGCACAGCCACTGCCTCATCTGGATTGGTGGAAAATGAGAGGTAGAGCTGGGTATCATCAGCATACTGATGATTCCACAGCCCACACCTCCTGATGACCTCTCCCAGCGGTTTCATGTAGATGTTGAACAGCAAAGGGGACAAAATGGACCCCTGCGGTACTCCATGGCATAGCTGCCATGGCGCAGAGCCATAGTCCCCCAGCACCACCTTCTGGAAACAGTCATTGAGATAAGAGTGGAACCACTGCAGAGCAGTGCCTCCGACCCCCACTCTCGCTAGCCTATCCAGAAGGATACCATGGTCGATGGTATCGAAAGCCGCTGAGAGGTCCAGAAGAACCAACAGGAACACACTCCCCCTGTCCTTCTCCCTGCACAGGTCATCATACAGGGCGACCAAAGCAGATTCAGTACCAAACCCGGGTCTGAAGCCGGACTGAAATGGGTCCAGATAATCAGTTTCATCCAAGAGTGCTTGGAGTTGTCCTGCCGCCACCCACTCCAACACCTTGCCCAGAAACGGGATGTTGGCCACTGGTCTATAATTAGTGGCCATCTCTGGATCCAGTGATGCTTTCTTCAGGACCGGTCGGACTACCGCCTCTTTTAAAGAGGCGGGTACCTGACCCTCCCTCAGAGAAGCGTTAACCACTTCCAAGATCCAGATCCCAATCCTGTGCTTGGCATTATTTATTAACCAAGACGGGCAAGGGTCCAATAGGCAAGTGGTGGGAGGTACTTGTCCAAGCACCTTGTCCACATCATCAGGCCGCAATAACTGAAATTCATCCATTAATTTTGGACCAGGTGGAGGCATTGGTATCTCCCCAGAAACCTCTGAGTCACTAATAGAGTCTAGCTCGTGATGAATCTGAGCAATTTTCTCCCTGAAATGCTTGGCAAAGTTGTCACAGCGGGCCTTCGAGGGTGAAACCAGATCTTTCTTGGGGCCAGGATAAACCAGGCCATGCACCACTTGAAAGAGCTCCGCCGGACAGCATTTTGAGGAGGCAATGGAAATGGAGAAGAATTTCTTTTTCGCCGCCCTCACCACCACAGCATAGGCCCGATAATGGGCTCTTAAGTGTGTTCGGTCAGATTCATCCCATCTCCTCCATCTACGCTCTAGCCGTCTCCCAGCCTGCTTCATCGCCCGCAATTCAGGTGTATACCAAGGGGAAGAGTGGGCTCTGCCCGGCGGGAGAGGACGCTTAGGAGCAATCGTGTCAACAGCCCTGGTCATCTCCCCGTTCCACAGTTCGACCAGGGCCTCGACAGGAGCACCAGTCTTGTCAACCAGAAACTCCCCCAGGGCCTTCAGGAATCCATCCGGATCCATCCGGCTCCGAGGGTGGACTCACACAATCGGGTCCGCACCCTTACAGAGGGAGAGGCCGCTCTCGAGCACAGATCTCACCAGGAAGTGATCTGACCATTATAGGGGTGTGAGGCATAAATTCTTCACCCTCAGACCACCCTCTTCCTGCCCCGTTGAGAAAACCAGGTCCAGGGTGTGTCCCCGTTCATGGGTGGGGCTGGTGACATGTTGAGACAGCCCCATGGCCGTCATGGAGGCCATGAAGTCCTGAGCCGCCCCGGTCAGACCAGTCTCGGCATGGAGATTGAAGTCCCCCAGGACCAGCATCCTGGGGGTCCTCAACACCAGGTCCGAGACGATCTCCGTCAGCTCAGGCAGGGAGACTGTTGGGCAGAAGGGTGCACGGTACACCAACAGAATCCCCAATCTGTCTCAGTCGCCCAACACCAAGTAGAGACACTCCAGCCCTGGCCTCGAAGGGACCGGAAGTCCCGTGAGGGAGATGGAGGCTCGGTAAACCAAAGCGACCCCCCCTCCCCTCCCCTCCAGGCATGGACGGTGCTGAACCAAATACCTGAGCGGGCACATTTGAGAGAGGGAGACATCCCCCCCCTCCCGCCCAGGTCTCCGTTATGCCAGCCTGGTCGGCCCCCTCATCCACAATCAAGTCATGGATGAGGGAAGATTTATTGTGGACCAACCTGGCATTAAGCAGCAGCACCGTCAGGCCCGAGGGGCGGTTGACAAGATTACCTGGCACCCTCCGGCTGGGGGCAGAACCAGAAGGAGGGATGGGTGTCAGCCATCTGTCCCTCCTTCTTCTACGCGGACACATTAAGCCCCCACCGCTGTAACGTCCATTGCCCATGACCACGCCAATGGCAGTGCTCCTGCACTCCCCAGGAAACTCAAGCGTCGGCATGGCCAGGGACGACTCCATAAAACAGATTAAAATACAATAAAAACTTTAAAACAATAAAAAAAACTCCCCCTTTTGCTATCTCCTGTGCTGGGAGAGGAAGTAGCCTTGATGCTGTCGAAGGGCATGTTCCAGCCCATTTTTTCATCCAGTCTCCACTTTGGATTCTATTCTTGCTACTCTGTGGTATTGCAAGAGGATGGCAGCCTCTTTCCCCTACTGGATGTGGACTTCTTCATCCCCCATACAAGTTCTGCATGCAGAATCTTCTGCCCAAGGGGCCCATCTAGTCCATCACCATGTTCACACAGAGGCCAATCAGCTGCCCGTTGTGAGCTCATAAGTGGGAAGAAAGTGCAGCAGAACTAAGCTTGCACACATGCACTTGTGCTGCCCAGCAGCTGGTATACAGAGGCACACTGCTTGTGTTAACATAGACCCAGCATGACCAGCCATGTGAAAAGCTTTGCAGGGTGTTCCCTGTGGCATTTCGAATCTTGTACTGTTCTGCATAAAGTGTGTCCAGGCCTGCTCAGGGTCTGTTACCACCACTACAGGATTAGAGCGAGGGATTTTGTTTAAGAAGTCCGCAAGAGAGGTATATTCGGCACAGTTCTGATTTGCAACCAAACATTTTACTGGATGTTCAAACCTCCTGATGGAATGAGTTTGCTGTGTAGAAAACAGAGTTACTGAGAAAACTGCTCCTTGAGCGGCTCCATTCTGCTTGTGTGTCATGCCCCCTTGCTTCATCACAGAAATCTGTACAAGGTCCAGCTGGAAGTATGTGCTATAGACTCCTGCACTGATCAGAGGGAGAGATGATAATCACTTCACCTTGTTGTAAGCCACCAAAGCACATGATCAAAAGGAGGGGAGTTAACAGCCCTTGCTTCTGGAACTTTCTAGAAGAAGCCTCCAGTTGTCCGTATCCTTCAAACTAGTACTCTTAACAGTGAGGTTGATAATAAATGGGTATACAAAAAAAAAATCTTGAAAAAGAGCCAGGTAGCAACTTTGCTTTATTAAACATTAACAGCTTTAAGTAGTGTGCACTTTTTTTAAAGAACACTTTGAGCAGAAAATAATTTTAATTATTTGCTAACTAATCTAAATGTTCTTCACTTATAGGAAAATGGCAGTCTCCTTGGAAAAAGTTCAGATCTTTCTACAGCTCTTGAAAAGCTGAAACATGAGGAGGTGGGATTTGTTGCTTTTGTATGATTGCTTGCTTGCTTGTGCTTTAACCCCCCTCCCCGAAATGACATAAGAGACTTTCGTACCTGTCGTGGGCTCAAAGAGGGTAGGGTGGGTTATCATGAAGTTCCAGTAAGAGAAAGAATCCTGCAGCACGTAGACCCTCTGCTTCCACATGTGCCCCTTTACAGTAGCAGCATCAGTCTCACTGCGACAAGGTAAACTGCTCTGCTAACCATGGATGCCACAGGGAGGGGGAAGCTTCTGGCAGTGCAACTGTATCTCCTCCCTCCTTTGACTTCATCCCGCTGGTCTCAGAAAGATTTCCCACCTTCCCTGTTCTAGTCTTACTTTTGTTCTAACACCAGGGCAGCAGTAGATTTAGCAGCAGTGGATCACATGCATATTCTGTTTATTTTGTTTCATACCACTTCAGTTCTATATTACCCACCACCCAAAGGTCTGGCAGGTAGGATAACAGAAGTTATCCTACAGGAGTGCCTACTTCACATAGACCGACTGAAATCAATGGGATGTGTTGGGCATGGATATTTGGAATTCTATTCATTTTGATGCATTTACTTAAAGATTTATGTTGAACGTTACCCTGTATTTCCAGATTCCATACAGCCAGTGAAAGGAGTAGGTGGCTTCGAAAGCGTGGATGGGCTTGAAACTTGTTACATTTAGGGAAGAAGAGAGCTGTTTTAATCCCTGGTGCATCCCGGGCACCATTAAGTTAATTACCCAACTGAGTGTGGCTTACTGTGTTAGCTGAACACAAATAGCATGGCTTGTTTGAGAAAGGAAACTTGGAAATAACCCAGTACCAGGCCATGTGTCAGTTGAGGGTTATTAGCCCCTCAGACAAAGCATGCCACCTGAGTTTAGATGACACAAAGAACATTCCTGGGTGGATAAATAGGGAAACAGTGGCCAGCATGTGCTAGGGATTAAAAAAGGGACACCATGGCGCAAATCTGGTCTTTGGCAATTCAGGACTTCCTAGCTTCATGGCTTTACTGGCTGCGCTTGAAGGTGTGAGCTGTGGCTGATGGGAAAAAGCCGTGCATGCTTGCAGAAGGGATATGGGAATGCTGCCTGGTGGGAAGGCAGTCCAAGCATTCTTTGTGAGCCGCCCCGAGGCTTTGTTGCGATGGGAGCAGCATAGAAATGTTTTAAATAAATAAATAAATAAATAAATAAATAAAGCACAGCGTTGCAGGTGCAGCTGAAGGCTGTGTGTCCTTTATCGGTAGATACTTGAATGGTTTGGCCGCTTTCTTCCAAGTGCCCCTCCTTTTAGTGGTTGTCCTAGTGCCTGCCCGTTACTGAGGTTGTGCTGCCATTGAAGTCCATGTTGCCCTCTAATTTCTCTTCCCTTCATTCCTCATTATGAATGTTTTAATTCCCAGCCATATTGAACAGTTTTCTGTGAGCTTTAAGTCCCCTAAGACCCTGAGGAGAGACCTGCACAGGCTTTGTGTTCACACAGAGGCTAGCCTGCTGCTAACACTACTTCATTTACAAGCCGTTGCTTTAATTTAGCTATCTTCATAACTCTAGAATATTGGTGAGGAGCCTATAGACAAGTAGGAGTGCCTCATTTTAATATTATATTTCAAGGCTATTTGAGCATGAAATGGAAAGCATTCTGAGCAGTAACCAGGTTTTGCCGATTGTTTTTAATCTTCTTCCTGCAAGCTTTCGGCTGTGTATAATAGCTAGGTTCGTGGCTTTGCTGCTTTGGTTTTCTACCACCTTAGCAAAGTGGAAAAGATTAGTCAATATTACTCTTGTTTCTCCTGTACTAACATATTGTCATAAACTAGGCTGACAGCATAGCAAAACAGTATTCTCGAGTAAAGCCTCAACAGAGAATGTTTCTCAGTATTTAGCAACATCCAATAGCTATATATAAATATTCACTCCTTTATGTCACTATGAATTTTAGGAGCTGGGTATTAATACTTTGAGTTTGACAACATTAATTAGATAGAAAACCAGATTGACTACTGTAAGATGTGTTTTGTGCAAGATATTTTCTTCTGCCAGTGTCTTAAAGCATTGTACTGTACTTGAACATAAAACAAACTGCATGCAGTGACCTTGGCTAGGAGCATCTCATTTCCTGGGCAGCTGCTGCTACGTGCTGGCTGTCTGACAGATGGGGCCAGGTCATAGTTACCAGAGGGCAGCCTCATGGTCATAAGCAAGTTGTAAATGTCAGTAAGATTTTTTCTCAATGTCTATCACATGTGTATCACTGATTCTCAAGTAGGTAAAGTGAGTAATCTTCTGGGGCTCCCAGAAGATAAATGCTAAGGCAGTATAGCAGAAAGTTGTGACATGCATCTATAAGCAGTTGTAGGGATTTGACAGATACTTAGCCCTTAGTTACTAGCCCTTTGGTTGAACTGACAGCACGCCTGCAAAGATAGGGAGGCCTGTTTCAGCCCCATTAACGTCCTCTTGAATGCAAGCCCACAGTCTGGAAAATGATAAATGTTCAGTGATTGATGATTTTTAGCGTCCTTAGGGATTTCGGGTGGTTTCTCATGGCTGCAGGCCTGAACAATTTTCCCTCTTGCTTGAGCTTCTCTTAGGCGTTCTTCAGTGCAGAGAGTTTGAAACAAGAAGGCTGGGTAGCATTTGTGTGTGGAGGGTGGGGTGAGGGGAGAAACCTTCAGTGATTATTTTTCAAAACTTAGGTTGATTCTCTGAACCTGAAATTTAATAAGATTGCATATGGTCTTTCTCTCTTCTGCGTTGTACCTTCCCAGATTGTGATTTTAGTGGGGGAAATGTTTTTCCCGCTTGGCAACTGAATAGATGCAAAACAAAGCAATTTGTGATGTCTTGTCCCACCCCCTCCCCCCAGTTTCATTTGCTGCTTCTCTGAGTCTGAAGTAACTTGCTAAGTAAATGCGTCTGGCTTCAGCACAGGGGCACATTAGGGTAGTAGTCCTGTGTTAGAATGCCAACTGCTACCATGTCTTCATTTTTAATGCTTTCCTACTAGAGCCAGATTAATCATAAGACGCTTTCCTTTAGAGCCAACTAAGAACAATAACTATAGATGCATAATTGCTTCATCTGTGCTTAGGTAGTTCCTTGCCTTAAAGAATAACAGGAAGGTGGACCACAGGAGCAGCCTTGCACACTCCACCCTTGCCCACTCAGAGGGAGATGCGAGCACCGAGCAGCCTGTTGCAGACCATGTTTGGTTTTATCTGACCTCCATAGGCTTGGCTTTTCCATGATCAAGGAAAGATAAAACATGGAACCTCCCTCACTCCTGCATGGAGAGGTTCTTGAGAGGTTCATTTGTGAGCAAACACATGTGCCCGAGGCTTACTTTCAGTCTTTCCCCAGGTGCAGGCCTGGAAAGAAAGTTTATAATATGAACGGAACCACAGATGTTCATTGCAGAACATTTTCGAGATTCATAATTAAGCAATAGCCTTAATATGGCGTTTAGAAACAGTGGAGTGCTTCTTCATGGTCTCGGTGCATCGCACACATGGGTGCTGTACCTGCACAGTGCCCTAGTTCAAGAAGAGTCTCCTAGCTTAGCAGTTTTTGGTGGGAGCCCCCCCCCCAAAAAAAGTTTCCACACTGGTACCATTGCTGCCTCTGCCAATAATTTCTGACACCTTTAACTGTGTGGAGAAGTGGTTAGACTGGATTCTTTAATTTCAGAGTAGGACACTTCTTGGGCTCCTGTTCCCTATTGAAAAATTTATTTGTGCCACCAAACAGTTTGGTTCCCTTTCATTTGAAGTTCAGTTCAACCCTAGTGAATAAGCATGCAGTTGTGTTTATCGGTGTACATGGAGTATGGCGGTTAAAACAAAACGTGACTGCTGTGTGTGTGTTCTGTGAGGTGTCCTGCTTCTGGAAGTATGACCCACCATATCGTTGCATTTAATTAGGAGAGTGTCTTTGAACTTAACTAGAAGGGCTTCCAATTAATCTGTTAAATACTCTGTTCTTTTCCTGTAGGGTTTTACAGACAGTCCTCATTATGGTGATCATGTGAATGATAGTCGATTAGGGCCCAATGAAGGATTGTCCCCAACACCCTTCATGAACTCAGATCTGATGGGTAAGTAGGTAATGCTTTGTGAGTAGCCCTTTGAAGCCTCTTTGGTCAGAGATACATTTTTCATCACCTCTTCTAGGCTAATAGTAGAGATGCCTGTAAGTGTAACAGCCTTGCTTTCTGAATTTGCTTTGTAGGGTAGCATTTTGTTTTGTGGATTATAACAGTGTGTATGAAGAGAGGCCAAATCATTGGCGTTTGATTTTGAAGGTTTCTTTGATGCTTTAGAATGTTTTTAAATGCATTGGAGTACTCAGTATTCAAACCTGAATGGCTTTTCCCCCTCGCCTACCAACATAGATAGATTTTTCTTCACTAGGACAAGCAATTGCAGCTATAAATGTCTGTGTCAGGCTTGCTTGCTCAGTTTTGAAAATGAAAGCATTAAGAAAATAGTTGAGAGAATGCCAGGCTGTTGCCTAGGCAGTGTTCCTTTAGACGTTGTTTTAGACAACCATATTGTGCACCCTTACCTGGGAATTGTGCTGAGATGGCAATCTAATGCAGCCCCTGAACCTAACTGGGCTTGCTTCTGAACAGTTGTGCTTGGCATTGTTCTTTTGGTGGCTTTTCCTTTGTGTGTCCCCAAAGAAGCAATTGTACTGCGTGTGTAGAATAACCTTGAAGGAAGTTGATTTAGTTTATCTGCGCAGGTTAAGAATTCCCCACAGTGTTGCTTCATCTATTAAAATTGATGTTGCATCTTTCTGTTTGGTGCATATGACCTATTTGTGCTCTTGATAATATTGTCCTTTTAAGACACTGCCATGGTAATCTAAGTAGATTACATAAATCCAAATCCTGGTGGTCTTTTGGAGATCTTTCCCCTTTGCCTTTGTTTACTGCTTTTAATCTTTTACAAACTGGGAAGTAAACAGTTGGGTTGCACAATGTATGCTTATAAACATAACTGACCAGTGAATGTTTATACCTTGCCATGAGAATGTTAGGCGGTAGAACTGTCATTTAAACAATTGTAACAATCTCTTCAAAGCCAGCATCCTGTTTGGAAATCTCCTCCTGCTCCCTGCATCTCACATGCCCAGAGTGGGAGCTGTCTGAAGGTTCACTAACATCCTTCCCTGCTGACAGGCATCAGCATATCCACTCACCAACAGGCCAGGGGCAAGAAAGACTTTGATCTTGACAAACAGGAATAATCAGGGAGGGAGGCTGCTAAATTAGGCTGCCAGAAAAACCCAGAGTTCATTTTTGGGGGAAAGTTTGTATTCTCCAATTCAAATGGCTGCAAGTGCTTCTGTTCTTGACATTCCCTTCTTTTTCTGGGACTATTATCTGATTTGTGGATAGTCGGGTGGGTGCTTGGTGCACCATTTTCAGTCTCTCTTCCATGTGGCTCGGTCTTGTCCTTTAGTTTCTTTCTCACTCCATGCACCAAGCTACTTCCGCACAGTCTCTCTTGCTTCCTCGCCAGCCCTGTCCTTCTGGAGCAGACACCCAGTCAACAGCTTCTTGCTGCTTCATTCCAATTGCAGGTAGTTTTTCCTTTTCCTTTTTGGGTAAACTAAGCAATTAAGTGAGAAAAGGCAAGGGACAGTTTCAAACTTCCCCCTTTTCATCTTTCAGTCATTTAGTTTTTGCTTTCTTCCTTCTATATGTCCGCTTTCAAGGTCTTTCTACATCTAACAGCCTTGACTTGTACTTCTCTTCCACTTTCCGTCCCCCAAAAAACACACCCAAATTTCGTGGCACTTTCAGAAACAAAGAGATTGTGAATGGGATCTTCTACAGAGAAGGGAGAAAAAGCAGGAGTGGGTTTCTTTGGAAGAGATGGAAATATTATCTCCTTGACCTATTGACTCTGGTTTTTTAAAAGCAGATGTTTGCTGTGCCATAGAGTCAGTGTTTCATTTTCTGAAAGAGATGTGTAGGAAACTTGGACTTCTGGGGAAGAGTGCCATAATTGCAACAATGCAGTTACTTCTTCTGAATTTTGTGGGAAGGTCAGGCTGCTGTTTGCTGGGTGGAAAGGGCAAAATACTATGACTTGATTCATATCCACTTTTACTGTATTCTTTCTGACTGGTATGAATATTTTTTAGCTATTGTGACTTATGGTCCCCAACCCTGTAACCTCTCCGCATGTACAAAGCGATGTCCATCCATTAATGGGGTATCTGAAAGTACTTGACCATGGCTCTCATCTATGTGCAGAAACTGTGAAATAAGCAAGTTGAAGAGTCATTGTAATGGAGAACCTTGTCCTGGTGTGGATGATGTCTTTTACATGCTGTCACAGAGAAAGGAAATGGGTCAGCCCAAGTCCTGCGCTTGATCTCAACTTCTGAGAATTGGGGTGGGAGGCAGGGTAATGATTGGGCAGGCCCCAGATAAATAGTTCTTACTGTTGTTTTTGACTTGGATATTGGCTGGTACAGAGTGGAAATGGTAGGACTTCTTTTCTCTTTAAAAAGGCATAGGATTACCCCTTTAAACTCTACTAATGTTGTGTGCTCTTGTCTGTGGCCTGTTTTACTTCAGTTAGATCAAGTTAAACCTTTACAACAAAACTGAGTTGGAGGTAAATTTTGAAAGGCAAAATATTCAATATTCAGTTTCTGTTGAAAGGCTGTGGCAGTTGAATGTCTATGTCTTTGACAGTTTGCTTGTATTTAACTTATTCTTTAACTTTTGGCTGTTTTCTTGAATTCCTTCTTTCATGCATTTAGCCTCTGAATAAGGGCTGTGCGGTTCTTTAGATTCAGTTGTGACGTGCTCACCACAGATTGCCATTAGTTTTCGTGGAACTAACAGCAATTTTAGCTGTTGTTCTTAAAGTATCTTTGTTGTTGGGTTTAAATGAAACATCATATTTTTGAGATGTGTTAGCAGGTTTTATTTTGTTTAAGAATAATTTAGATAAAAGTAAGTTTAGATGAAGGTTCCAGTGCTGAATACAGTTCATTTATTTATTCATCTAGTTATTTATCAGATTTATATCCTGCTTTTTTCTTATAACAAATGCAAATGTCTTATATCATTTTGCTCCTCCTTCTTTCTTATCGCCACAACAACAACCTGGTGAGGTGGGTTGGGTTGAGACTGGTCCAAAGTCACCCAGTTGGCTCCATGACTGAATGGGGACTAGAACCCATATTCCCTGAATCCCATTCTCTTGACTAGTACAGCACACTGGCTCTCTTCTTTAGAGTGGAAGAGGGTAAAAAGGTGTCTTCACTGACATTGACGTGCACAGTTCAATGCATCGAGTAGGTTCTGCTTTGGAAGTGTCCTTGTGTGATCTGGAAATTCTTCTCCAGGGAAGTGCATGTTACTCTGTTGTTATGATCATGGCCACAAACTTGTTAGCTGGTAGATGAAAATTTTCTTTAGGATGTTTTTTATATCAGAGTTTTGCAACTGTTTAATTGTAGTCATTTGTATTTGATTAAGATTGGGCTTTTTATCTGTGTGACTACTTAGATTCACACTTCTGTATTAGAACTTTATTAGAAAGTTGGTAAGCATTATAATAAAGAGATGTCTGGCTTTAGGGGCTAAATGCATTTCTTGTACCAGGACCTTGCTTTTTTGCTTGCTTGTTTTGCGTGACTTCCTATTGAAGCAGAGCAATAAGCGTTTCACTGTTCTGAAAATTGTATTATATTAAAACTGAGACAATGCTATACTTCATAATTTCTGACATGGCATATATGCAACATTAAAAACAGAGAATTATGTGTCAACAGGATGCTGTTTTTCTATATTATGTTCATCCATAAGCATGGTTGCCTGAAAAGATAACCGGTTATTAATTGCCACTGTCTTGAGTGATGAAGCTCTTAAACACTTTAATGATCTTGTACATTGCAAGAGCAAGAAATTTTGTCTAACAAGAGCTGATAATGATTCAATAATGAACAATTTTCTGTAGAAAGATGCATTTTAATATCCATTTAGACATTTGGAAGTGTTTTTGTCAGAGGAAGTAGGGCTATTATGTTGAAGTGATTTGTGTTCCTTCCTAATTCCAGAATTGTCCTGTTGATGTTGTCAGTGGAAAGAAGTGGACTATTCTTGCCTCTCGAGGAACACTGCTGAGGAGTTTGGGTACCAGAATTTCCCGTTTGTGTTAGGTCATGGGTGGGCAAGTCCCAGGCATTGGAGGACACCCCACAGGGTGCCATATCCCTTTCCATTGCCACCTCTTGACAGCTGACAAGAAAGAAGTCCTACTTTAAGAGGAAGCATTGGCAGTTTACCAACACCTTCTAGCCAGGAGGAGAGTTTGTCAGTTCAGTGCCATGCTGCTGATGCTTGGTGGGAAGCTGCTGAGTGTTTCTTGTAATGCAGGCCTTTTGCTCCCTCTGGAAGAGTGTGGCAAGGCTGTGAAGGGGGTGGGGGGGTGAGCTGCATATTACCCCTAACACCTGCATGCAGTGAACTTGGAAGCAAACTGAAATCTGATCAGTGTAATGCTGACATATCTAGATGTCTTCTTTGTGATCCCTGTGATTCACACATGGGTTATAAACCTATACAGAAAAGACATTCAGATAATTCTTAAGCTAAACTAAATTTTAAGTGGGAATACTGCCCACCTCCTCTGTACACACTCCATGTGTGGCTTCTGCTTACCTCCCAGCTCCTTTTCATTTGCCTGACTAGCAGCATTTGGAACATTCTCTTGCCTAATGACACTATCTCAGATTCTAATGTCCCCCTCCTGGGATGCTGAATAGAGTTCTCCTTTCTTCCTTCCGCTTTATCCTCTTGCTTCTGCTTGCATAGTCTCTAAGACTGCCTCCGAAAACAGTGACCAGTGGACATTTCAGCTGCCTTCTTAAGTCTGAGCCTGCTGCTTAGCCGTTACTGAGCTTTCCTCAAGGCTACTAATGGGCCCTGCTTTGGGAACAAGCCTTCAGTGCAGCAGCACTCAGCTGGCATCCGCATGCTGCCTTGGTGTTCCTCTGCACTAAGCTGCCCCTGCATCTTCACAGCTTCTTCCAATGCACACAATCATAGGCGGAGCTTTAGAACAG